TCAATGTCATGAGACAAAGTATATGTGAACTGCTGTATGGAAAGTGAATTTGCTCTGTAAATTTTCACCCAAATCACAATTTAAAAAAAAAAAAAGATCTTTTGCAGCAGATGTGCCCAATGTAATACGTCATTTGATTTCTTGGCTGCTGCAAACATGAACTAACAGGTACTGGTCTACAAACTCTTTATTATTGTTCCAACAAGCTAAATACAAAAATTGACAGTAAGGGCTTATAAACGTGAAAGAATAAACTGTGGCACAATTGGTTAAGCACTTGATTACTAACCAAAAGGCTGATGGTCTGAACCCACCCAGGTGTACCTCGGAAGACAGGCCTGCCAATCTACCTACAAAAGATCATAGCCTTGAAAACTCTATTGAGCAGTTCCACTATGCATACATGAGGTTGCCATGGGTTGTAATCAACTTGATGGCCACAAACAGCAACAATAATAATTTTTTTTTAATTGGCCTTGAAATTTCTTTTTCATTAATTTTATTTTTCTGGTAATTCATTTTTTGTATTGTTCAAAAGTATCAGTCTGTTGCAGTCTTAAAAGCATGCAAGTGGCCATCTAAGATGCAACAATTGGTCTTTCCTCATCTGGAGCAAAGAAGAATGAAGAAAATCAAAGACACGTGGAAACAATTAGTCCAAGAGACCAGTGAACTATGCAAACCTCAGCTTACATGACCCTGAGACCAGAACTAAATGGTGCCCAGCTACTACTGCAAACCACTCAAAAAGGGATCAGTGTAGGAGATCCTGGATAGAGTAGGAGAAAAATGTGGAACAAAACTCAAAATCATAAAAAAGATCAGGCTTACTGATCTCATAGAGACTGGTAAAACCCCCCAGACTATGGCCCCTAGTCACCCTTCGGGCCTTGAACTGAACTCACTCCCATGGCCTCCAGCCAAACAAGACAGGCATGTAAGGTGAACAATTACACCAGGTAGATACACTCCTTAGAACAATCAACCATGGGATATCAGAAGGTCAGTATTTGCACAGGGAGATAGCTCAGGGGGCAGGCATGCACAGTAAAGAAGGACACAGGGAAAAGGTAACCACACGGAGGAAGTGAGAAGAGAACTGTCACATTATGGGGATTTCAATCAATATCATGAAACAAAATGTGTATAAATTATTGTATGCAAAACAAATTTGCTCTATAAACTTTCATCCAAATCACAATTTTTTAAAAAAAACATGTCAGTTTGTGACATACTGGGACAAAATAAATTGGTTTTTCATTAGTTATGATAAGTCTGAGAAGCACCTAATGGGCAAGACAAAACAGCACATTGAAAACTGAGTTCTCATATTCTTTTAATGTGTAAATCAGACCCCAATTGTTCTCTGCTCGAAACTCTCAAGAATGGCTTTTTACCATCTCACTCAAGTCATTAAAACAGAAGTAGCCTATAGGGCCCCCCATTTCTTCTATGATTTCATCTCCTATTTCTAAATAAATTATATATATACATTATAAACATGAAAAGGAGCTCTGGTGGCATAGTGCCTAAGGCTCTTGACTGCCATCCAGAGGGTTGGCGGTTCAAACCCACCAGCTGCTCCGTGGAAGGAAGATGGGCCAAATTACTTCTGTAAAGATTTAGCAACTCAGAAACCCAACGGGGGTCACTATGAGTCAGAAATGACTTGATGGTAGTCAGTTTGGTTTTTGTTTTGTATATACATATGAGAGGAGCTCTGGTAGCACAGTGCCTAAGGCACTTGACTGCTAACCAGAAAGATGGCGGTTCAAACCCACCAGCCACTCCTCGGAAGGAAAGTTGGGCAAACTACTTCTGTAGTGATACTGTCTCGGAAACCCAAGGAGGGGTCGCTATAAGTCGGGTACGACTCGATGGCACATAACAACAACAACAAATATGAAAGTTTCATTTCAAAATAAAACTGCTATTATGAAAGCAATTATGAATAGGAATAATAAAAATATTCCCACACACAAATTTTGCCTATATAAAAACATTACTGATATAAATTAGTAAAAGATGATGTAAAATCAATAATTTGCTTATGAGTACCTGAAAAACTCAGGAAATAATGATTTTAGGCAATATTGAAATTGACCAAAGATGAGGTTGGGTACTAATAAAAATGTCTGACTCAGAAGCAAAAATCAACTTTATTTTCTATTCATGTAAAATTGGCAAGAGTAGTAATAATCACACACTACATGGCTGCAACCCTTTTAAACTATGTGCAGACATAGCATTGGGTAAGAGTGCTGTCATCTTTAAACTCAGGATAAACTCCTAGACCCTCCTGCCAGATCAAGTAAACTTACAGAGACTCTTCTCATTAGGACTAATATAAAAGCTACTGAAAGAATAAGAAAGCAATTATGAACATGAATTATCATCTACCAATGTCTACAAAATCAAGAAACAATCTGTCAAAATAAGTCAATGAAAACTACTCAGTGTAACCTGTAACTGTCAGTGACTACTCAAGTGTAACCCATAACTAATCTGCAAAAATCTGTAGTTTATAAAAATAAATAGTCTAAAATTTCCCTCAATGTACATTAATACATACTACACTTAGAAAACATATGACTTTTTATGATGAGCATAATCCTAGCTTAAATACCAGCATGTTATCATGTGAGCACACTTTTAAATTAAGATTTCAAATAATCCAAAAAAGATTATTTGTCTAGAATAAATTATTTATTAAAGACTCAAAATAAACAGTATACCTTTATTGAAGACTCTATAGTATGATCTCATTTAATGCTCACAGCAACCCTATGAAGTGCCCTTATAAATAAGGAAAACTTAGACTTAAGATAAAACAAATTTTAAGTGATAGAGCCAGAATTCCAATGTAAGCAGCATTCTAGACACTTTCTGATTAACCACTACACTTTATATTACTTTATTTCAAAAGTGTCAAAACCTCAAAGACACTTTTTTGGGGGTCTTTAGAAATGTACCTATATTTATTTACATGTTTACTATAAAATTTTCTTTGTACGAAGCTAATTGACTGACCACTGAGTTAAAACAAAAAAGACATATATGCAAAGCTAATCAATTTTTTTTCTCATCATCATCTCTAAAAATAATTACCTCCAGTTGCTCCTTCTGGGTAAAACCCTTCATGCTTTTCCCTGAAGAATGGCCAACAAAGGTCATTACTCTAATAATCGGCTGATGTTGAAAAAGCATTTCTGCAATTTCTTGAACACTATCTCGAAATGATGAGAAGATCATAACTCTGGTCTCGTCACTTTTCTTTTCAGAGGTGTTTCGAGCTATATAACAAAAAATACATTAATTAAAAGTTTTTAGAAGGATATAAAGAACTAGCTCAAAAGACAAGCTTGAAACTATATACTACTAATCAACAGTGATTCTTTCAAAAAATAATTTGAGACACCTTGACCCTTTCTTGGTTTTCCCCGTACCTTCTCTAGTAGTTTTAATAATCTTGGCTCCTTGTCTCTCACTGGCTCATAAAATAAAATGCTAAACAAATCAAGTAAGAATAATTACCTGAATCACTTCTGACCAGTCCTTTAACTCATATATGATTTATATTATCTCCCTTTACTTTCTAAGACAGACAAAAACAAAGAACTACAGAGCTCCCACTAATTTCAGACCATATGATTATCTGATTCAAAATAGTCAGTTTCAGTCCATTTCAGCTCACTATTACCTAGAACATCAACTTTTATGTGTTCTGTTTCATTTTTGACAACTTCCAATTTTCCTACCTTCATACATTCCATGTTCTAATTATTAATGAATGTTTGCAGCTATTTCCTCTTATTTTGAGTCATGCCACATCAGCAAATGAAAGTCCAGAAAGCTTTACGCCATCTACGTCATTAAGATCAACTCTACTTTGAGGAGGCATCTCTTTCCCTTGTATTTTGACTGCTATCCAACTTTCGGGGCTCATCATCCAGAATTATACCAGAAAATGTTCCACTGCTATTAATAAGGTGGTCAAGGGCCAATTTTTCAGAAGTAGTATGCCATGTCCTTCTTCCTAGTCTGTCGTAGTCTGGAAGTTGTACTAAAAATTGTCCACCATGGACAACCTTGCTGGTATTTGAAATACCAGTGACATAGTTTCTAGCATCACAACAACACTGAAGCCACCAAAGTACAAACTGACAGACAAATGGTCAAATATAATGATAGGGAAAAATAAAACACCTAATAACAAAAACCACTGTATTATATATTGCTCTACTATCTGTTTCCCTATATTGCCTTAGACTTTTCCTTTTTATATAATACCTTAATCTTAACATTCTCACTAATCCCCTCCCTCAACCCTCCCAAAATTTCTCAAGAGTTTTTGTAAATTCATTATCCAGCACCATTAAAAGCTGACCATCTCCATGAGATGTGTTATCAAAACCTAACAAACAGAAATTCTTAGCTCTTTTAATAACTTTGTCTTGTCTTGAATTGAATGAATATGACCTACCATTCCACAACCTGAAGTGTTCAACTACAACTTCTTCTAATTTCTTTAGCTTTGGATGACTATAGAAATATTTCACATCTTTATCTCCTGCCAAAAAAAAAAGTATATACATATATATATTTTTTTCCATATTCCATTATGTTAATATATTTTAAGTTACCTCTCCTGTTCAAAATGGTTATGTTAAAACATATAGGAATCAGATTGACTATATATGTGGCAAGAGGTGATGGAGAAGCTCAGTATCTTCAGACAAAACAAGGCCAGGAGCTGATTGTAAAACAGACCATCAACTGCTCATATGCAAGTTCAAGTTGAAGCTGAAGGCAATTTTAAAAAGTCCACAAGAGCCAAAATATGACCTTCATTATATTCTTCCTGAATTTAGAGACCATTTAAAGAACAGACTTGATGCACTGAACACCAGTGACCGAAAACCAGAGGAATTGTGGGATGATATCAAAAACATCAACCATGAAGAAAGCAAAAGGTCATTAAAAAGACAAAAAAGAAAGAAAAGACCAAAATGGATGTCAAAGGAGACTCTGAAACTTGCCCTTGAATGGAGAGTAGCTAAAGCAAATGGAAGAATCAAGATAAAAGAGCTAAACTGAAGACCTCAAAGAGAAGCTCAAGAAGACAAAATCAATTATTATAAACAAGTGCGCAAAGACCTGGAATTAGAAAACCGAAAGAGAAGAACATGCTCGGCATTTCTCAAGCTGAAAGAACTGAGGAAAAAATTTAAGGCTCAAATTGCAATACTGAAAGATTCCATGGCAATATGTTGAATGATGCAGGAAACATAAAAAGAAGATGGATGGAATACAGAGTCACTATACCAAAAAGAATTGGTAGATGATCATCCATTTCAAGAGGTGGCATATGATCAAGAACCAATGGTACTGAAGGAAGAAGTTGAAGCTGCACTGAAAGAACTGGTGAAAAACAAGGCTCTAGGAATTGATGGAATACCCAGTAAGATATTTCAACAAATGGATGCCACGCTGGAGGCACTCACTCAGCTATGCCAAGAGATTTGGAAGACAGCTACCTGGCCAACTGACTGGAAGAGATCCATATTTGTACCCATTCCAAAGAAAGGTGATCTCAGAGAAAGGGGAAATAAACAAACAATATCATTGGTATCACATGCAAGTAAAATCTTACTGAAGATAATTCAAAAATGGCTGCAGCAGTATATTGACAGAGAATTTCCAGAAATGCAAGTTGGATTCAGAAGGGGACGTGGAACGAGGGATATCATAGCTGATGTCAGATGGATCTTGGCTCAAAGCAAAGAATACCAGAAAGATGTTTACTTGTGTTTTATTGACTATGCAAAGGCATTCGATTGTGTGGATCATAACAAATTGTGGATAAAATGGAGAAGAATGAGAATTCCAGAACACTTAATTGTACTCAAAAGGAACCTGTACATAGACCAGTAGACTGTCACTCAAACAGAACAAGGAGACACTGCATGGTTTAAAATCAGGAAGGGAGTGTGTCAAGGTTGTATCCTTTCACCATACTTATTCAATCTGTATGCTGAGCAAATAATCTGAGAAGCTAGACTATATGAAGAAGAATGTGGCATCAGGATCGGAGAAAGGCTCGTTAACAACCTGAGATATGAAGACAACACAACTTTGCTTGCTGAAAGTGAGGATGACTGAAAGCACTTACTGATGAAGATTGAAGACTACAGCCTGCAGTATGGATTACACTTCAATATAAAGAAAACTAAAATCCTCACAACTGGAACTATAAGAAGCATCACGATAAACGGAGAAAAGATTGAAGCTGCCAAACACTTCACATTGCTTGGTTCTACAATCAACGCGAATGGAAGCAGCAGTCAAGACATCAAAAGACGTATTGCATTGGGCAAATCTGCTGCAAAAGACCTCTTTCAAGTGCTAAAGAGCAAAGATGTGTCCTTGAGGACTAAGGTGAGCCTGACACAAGCCATGGTATTTTCAATCTCCTCATATGCATGTGAGAACTGGACAATGAATAAGGAAGACCAGAGATAAGTTGATGCTTCTGAGTTGTAGTGTTAGACAAGAATGCTAAGAGTACCATGGTCTGCTAAAAGGACTAACAGATCTGTCCTGGAGGAAGTGCAGCCAGAATGCTCCTTGGAAGCGAGAATGGCCAGACTTCGTCTCACCTACTTTGGTCATGTTGTCAGAA